ATACATAGCAGGAACTTGCAAAGCCAAAACAAGAAAAAAAAAATATGCTCACCCTCGGTGAACCCTCTTTAAAGACAGGAGCACATCCAACCCCATTCTTTTGGACTCTTTGATCGAGACTGGTATCAGTTCCTTTCCTTATATGTATAAGCTAGATAAGTAGGGTTCCTATTGGACAAAGGCTTTCTTGAACTCAATCAAAAGAGCAATTCAAGAGTAAAGCTTCATGTTCTCCTGCTCGGACCGGAGAATAGGTGCAGAAATGGTCGAGGAAAGGGCTTGCCCAACTGAAACTGAGGGGGAAGAGCAAAAACTAGAAGATGGGCACAGGTCTTTCTTGTACAACACTAACACATCTGTTTCCTACCCAATCGCTGGCTAAAGTATTATGGATTCTGTTTTCAAATTACATGGCCTCCCGTAGGTAATAGTCAGTGACCATGATCCCATTTTCATCAATTTATTCTGGCAAGAGCTCTTTATACTGCAAGGAGTTGATCTTAACACATTCACAACCTACCATCCACAAATGGATGGTCAAACTGAAGTAGTAAACAGATGTCTTGAAATTTATCCATCAGCAACCTGCAACTTGGTCCCAATGGCTCTCTCGTTGAATATTGGTCAATACTTCATTCCACACATCCAATCACACAACACCATTCGAAGTCTTATATGGCTATCCTTCCCCAGTTCATATACTGTACCTCCCAGGCTATTCGCATATAGCAAGCCTGGATAAATTCTTACAGGAATGGAAGGTAATATTGCAAATTTTGAAGTTCCATCTGTCCAGAGCACAACATAAGTTGAAACAACAAGCTGATAAACACCATACCTATAGACAGTTTCAGATAGGCGATCATGTCTACCTCAAACTGCAACCATACCACCAGCACACAATTGCTGTTTGTTCTAACCCTAAACTAAACTCTGTTTACAAAAGGCCTTTCCTAGTTATAGACAAAGTCGGAGCTGTCACCTAAAAACTACAACTACCAAGAGGAAGTCAATGCCACCCTGTTTTCATGTACCACAATTGAAACACACACCAGAATCAGCACCCTTAGGGGAAACACCAATTGTAGCAAACCAGCAAGAACTCCAACCTATTGCCATACTACAAAGAAAGCTAATTAAACGTCACAACCAGCCTCTTCTACAACTTCTGATTCATTGGTAAGATGGATTACCCCCTACTTGGTAGGATGCTCCTTGGTTCTCTGAAATATTTCCATACTCTTTCCTTGAGGACAAGGGAACATGGGGGAGGGTTGGGGGGGAGGGAGATTTGATTTGTGAAAAATTATGTAATGGCCAGAAGAATGTAAGAATTGAGAGTAATAGTGGGATATCCATAACAGAAATAACTGTTCATATAGACTCAACACTGTTATCGATACCACAGTAACCAGAATAATAAATCAAGAAGGGGAAACAACAGCTTTCTTTCATCTTGGGTCTCTCTCTTACGTGTGTGAATAGTTTCTCTTGTCTCTGTGTGTGTGTAAATTTCTTTGTGTATCATTGAGTGGAGCAAAAAATAGCAAATAATAAAATGAAGGCATGAAAAAAAAATCAGACTTGTGCTTGTGAAAACTTAAGGTCTTAATTTCTAGCCTGGTATAACTGATGGACCGTTCTTGGTTGATTCTGCATATAAATGTGTAAGACATAAAATTAGGAAAGGATATGTATATATATTAAGGTCATTAGATGAGTAGTCCTAAGTAGCTAGTTTTTAGGGGATAGAGTAGGATACTTCCATTGGCTTGATTGTCAAACTGGCCAAAAGTGTTTTAGGATGCAATATATCTAATGCCTGCATTATCTATTTTTATGCATTAATGTTCTACCAGAATGCTACTGGTTGCATGTAATTTTACTTGTTTTTGTTGCGTGTAAAGTTTCTAACAGCCAGCTAGCAGTTTAACAAGAACAACAACATTTCAAGACATACTTTCTCATGGAAAGAATCAAAATGCCAAAACACATCTCACTACTATGTTCCAAGGTTTCTTACACTTGCAAAGTTTCTTCTCATGAATTTGATTAGTTGCTTAAAGAAGAACATCATGAAGAAAACATTAATACCATAAAAGAAAAATTTCCTAGGCAACATATTTATGACAATTGCTAGGGTATATATACAGATACATATTATATGCTTTTCTTGAACATTTCTATCTCATTCAGGATAGGAAAGTCGCATTCAATAATTTACAGAATATAAGAACAGAAAATTTTAGGAAAAAATATCCACGTCAAACTCGCTACAGCATTATGATGATATGGGCATAAAGGCAGATGAATCAAGCTCACTTAAATATTAAACACAAAATAAACCAAGAAAAAATACCTTCCAAAGAATAGCCCCCGGAAATATTAACACGAAATTAAAATATCTCATGCAATTTTAATTTTGATACCAATTGCATTCATATCTTTCAAGTATCTCATGCAATTTTAATTTTGATACCACTTGTATTCATACCTTCCAAAGAATAGATCCTCCAGAACTAAAGGCAATAACATGCCCATCGACCAAGCAACAAATAACTGTGAGAAATCATTGTCAACAAAACACCAGGAGAAAATGATTTAGCAAAGCAGAATAGAATTTAGAAAATTAAAAGGAAAATGTAATTCACAATTACAGGGATTAACAATCCTAGAATTAGAGGGCTAAAAAACACAATGAGAATTTTAGGTTTCTGACAACCACAAAAGCGAGGTTATTAAGTAGGTGTTTCAGATTTTTCATTTTGTCCTTAGAAGTAACTTTAAGCACTTTTCCAAAATCAGCTGTTTGGTAACAAAATAAGTAGGCACCTTATTGGGTGCTTAAAAGTAACTTTAAGCAGGAAAATAATTGACACCACATTCTTATTTTTTTGTGCTTATTTGTTCTCCACATTGATTTACCTCCTTTGTACATAATTTTTTGACTTCTAAAATAAGAATTTGGTTGCTTCAAGGAACTTAAAGCATTACTATTTTAAGTAATTTCAAGCAAATTTCTTTAAGATATCTCAAACACCCTCTAAAAAACTCAATGCATAAGAGAATCTATTTAGTTTTATTCATAGCCATTCTCAATCCATTAACACTCTCAATGAGAATAAAGTAATATTCAGCTATTTGTAGAGTTAATAAATATCTCATTATGTCTACAATATTAAATGGGAACTCTAACAACATAGTAAATAATAAAAATATTCAAAATATACTAGACGGCCCTCTATCATTCATCATCTCTTCAAAGTATATCAACTCCAAAGTAGGACACCAAAAGAAAATCATTACAAAATTGTGGATCCATAGCATGACACTCTTCAACCACCAAGTATCTAGATGTAGATAACTATTCCATCAGACAGGCAATATCTTAGAACCTCCATCAATACAAGTAATATACTACTTATTGAAACTGTTAAAAAAATGATATGTTGTGTATTTATTGAATATCATAACTTTGTATATAAAAGTTCTTGAGAGTAAGAAAGAAAATCAACAATTAATTACCTAAGGGTATATTTTATCACTATACTCTTTAATCTAATTTTAACACTAGTTACATGTGATGTACATTCTCTAATGGTCCCCCTTAAGTTGGGGAATAGACATTATCCATTTTCAACTTGAAAATGATTATCCAAATTACTAGATTATTCAATTATTTAGTTAAGACATCTATCAAGTTAAGAGTTGGTAGGTACGTACAGTATATACTTCAGGTCACCGTCTATCATTTTTTTAATGAAATGTCTGTCAACTTCAATATATTTTGTCTTGTCGTATTGTAAATTATGAACAATACTATTAATTAAAAATGACTTAATGTGTATTCTATTGGATATTGCAATCCTATATATCTATATGTTTTCTATGATGAAAAAGATAAACAATAAGTTATAATTAATTACAAAAGGTTAATTTACTCTTATACTATTTAATCTAATTTACTTTTTATTTAATACTCCTTCAAGCTGAAAGTAAAGGTTGTTCATCCTCAACTTGCCAATAAAATCTTGGAATGTTGGATTGCTAGAGCTTTCATTTAATATATCTGTCAGTTAAGAATTGGTAGACATGTATTGGGTACATATTAGGCCACAGTCAAGGTTTTCTTTAATAAAATATCCATCGATTTTGATGTGTTAAGTCGGGTCGTACTGCAGCAAATTATGAGTGATGTTTATGATCAATTTCTTGTCACAATGTAGACGTACAGGATTTTCCCACTTGATCCTAAAATCTTCTAAAATTATTTTTATCCATAGTAATTCATATACCCCTTGTGCTCGGACTCGAAATTTTGATTTTTTACTTAATCTTTCAATTACATAGTACTTTTTACTTCTTGAGGTTATTAGGTCATTCCATAGGAAGGTACAGTATCTTTTGGTAGACCTTTTGTCTGCAACTGATTCTCCATGATATGCATCAGTATAAACTTTTAGGATTAGCTTATTACTCTTCCTGAATATAATTCATTTTTCAGATAACCTTTTCAGGTGATGCAGTACTCTGTAGACTAGTTGTAGGTGCATTTATTTCAAATTGTGCATGAATTGATTTATAACATACATTGCGTGGGACGATGTTTGCTCTTGTGTGGGATAAGTATATCAATTTCTCAACTAATCTCTTATATATTTCCTTATCTAATGGCATATCTTATGTTATTCCTAATTTGTGATTAGGATCAACAAAAGTGTTAACTGTTTTGCATGTTAACTTACCAGTGTCACTTACTGGTCATGAATATATTTATACTAAGAAATAAAAATTTCTGATTTTGAGTAGGTGACTTTAATTTCTAAAAAGTACTTCAACTTACCAAGTTCATTGATTTCAAATTCTTTTATCAAGCACTATTCTAGTACTAGTTTTTCTTTCTCATTATCTCCTGTTACGAAAATGTCATCAACGTATATTAAGAGAGTTGTAACTTTTTTCCATCCCAGAGTATTTGATGGATAAAATGTGATTTCCTTAAATCTACTTAAATCCAAAATCTAAGATCACCCTTGTGAACATGTCAAACCATGCTCTTAGCAGTTACTTGAGTCCATGCAAAGCCTTCTTTAGTTTATTTGGTTATGTTTCTTTCTTAAAACCTGGTTAGATATTCACATATATTTGTTCTTCTAAATCTCCACATAAAAGGACATTTTTTACATTATATTATTGTAGTTGTCAATCAAGGTGAGCATTTAATGATAACAAGATTTATACAGTGCTCATCTTACCTATTGGTGTAAATTTTTTCTAACAATCTATCCCAAATGCCTATGTATAACCTTTTACACTAGTCTTGCTTTATATCTCTTGATTGTCCATCTACCTTGTATTTGATGATAAAGATCCATTTGTATCCCATCAATTTCTTACCTTTAGGTAGATCCATCATTTCCTATATTTTCTTTTCAAGTACTTGCATCTCTATATTCATAGCATTTTTCAATTTTTTATAATATAAAGTCTCAGATATTGTGTTAAGAATAGACTTAGTATTCAAATTCATGAGAATTTTTTTGGGACGATTTATCAAAATGACACAAACTGTAAGATAATATAAAAAGAATGTTTATTGCATTCTCTTGTGCTTTTACAACATGCAATAAATATATTATTATCAGACTGTATAGGATTTTCAAGACTTACCTCATTTCCAGGATCAAGTTCGGATTCTTAAACCAGCTTAGGCTCAATATTCAACATCTTCCTCCTTGTATACACTTGAAAAAACCTATAGTCTGATACGATCTTTTAAATAGATAAATTTTTTAGTAAATTCTGATGGTTTTTTTGTAGAGATGGTGTTAGGGTGTGCGACGAAAAGTTTTGCAAAAAAAGTAATAGAGTAAAATCTACTAAGAATTATTCTTGTCTTTCAATATAGACTCCTCCTGAAGATAAGGTCAGGTGAAATAGGATTCTTATTTAATAAATGTAACATCTGCAGACACAGAATTTCGAGTGGGTGAGTGGTAACATTTGTACTCCTTTAAAAGGAGAAGTACAGCACAAATACATATTTCAGTGCTCGAGGATCAAGTTTCCTTCTTTGATAGGAAGGAATATGAATGAAAGCAATATACCTAAGTATCAAAGAAACTAAATGTTTTGTGACACTTATTACTGTATAAATTTTTTTAATTATTTTTAAAGAACTTTCAGGTCAGAACGTTGGTGGATAGCGGTGGTAAGAACGGTTTTACTCTGTATTATTTTAGGACATCGTTTTGGAATTATGGCTAAAAGGTGACTGTTTTTGTATTCCGCTAATTTGTTTAGTTGTTAAGTGTGAACACAGAATGATTCATGTAAAATTTCTTCCTGATAGAAGAATAATGGAAGTGTGAGGTTAATAGAATTTTTAACGTTATCAGTAAAAAAAATTTTTATGCCAGTTCCGAATGTAATTATCACGTTGCAGAACTGGACATGATATGACTAACATCATATTTGACTTTTAGTAAAAATAGATAGGTTCCTTAATGCAATGATCAACAAATGAAACAAACTACCGAACCCCAAAAAATATAATGTGTTGGAGTTGATTCGCAAATATCACTGTAGATTAATAAAAACGGAACTAAATTTCGTTTATTACTAATGGAAAATTTCAAACACTTATAATTTGCAAACTCATAAATACTGCAGTATAAATTTCCATATTCTAAATTCTTAAACAATAAGGGAAATGTAGCTTTTACTATTAAAAAGGATGAGTACTCAAGTCTTCTATAGTAGAGTCAAATCTTATATTTGAAGTTAGTAATGACAACAAAGGAGGATCCCCATGTACATCCAAGTAGCATAGTCCGTTTTTTACTTCAGCATGTTCAATCGTCTTTCCTAAATTTTAGTCCTAAAAGTCCCAATGAGAAGAGTGAAATGTTATTTTACAGTTCAATTCTTGTTATAACTTATTGACCGACACAAAATTAGTACATAGTTTGAGAACATGCAATACATTTTTTAGGACAACAATAGGACAAAGCTAGTGGGAATTGATATACTTGTTACATATAAAGCCAGACATTGTATATACAGTGAGTGTACTAAGTTAATTCATGCACAAGCCTAGAGAAATGCATTTGTAAGCTGTCTATAAAATATTCCACTACTTAAAGGACACCTAAGAAAATAGAATAATGTCCAAGGATTGCTCCTTATAGCATATAATGATGCTGACTATGCAGGTTCATTAGTTGACAGAAGGTTTACATCTTGATACTACAAATTTGTTGGAGGAAACCTAGTGACTTGGAGTAAGAAGCAGAATGTTGTATCTCGATCCAATGTCATATTAGAGTTTAGGACTATGACCTTTTTTTTAGATAAAAGTAAGAAAATACATTAAAAAGTGGTACTGAAGGGGTAACACCCATTTACAAAAGATTTGCATATTAATGAGCATATCAACAACAGCTCCTACGTCATCAAAAGATAAGAGACTGTCCCAAAAGTATGGATCCAAAACAGTATATCCATCTATTCTTGATATTTACAAAAGTATCTTCAATGCCTTCAAAAACCCTATTATTTCTTTTTTTCCTAATAACTCAAAAGATTATTAAAGGATTTAGCCGAGTAGTGTAATTGTTAGAAACTAAACCCCCTCCCAAAATCTCATTATAAACGAAGCTTACCATAACCCAATTAATGCCAATAAGACTATAGACCATGTGCCACAAATTAGCAGTAAAAGGGCACCAAAGAAGAATATGATTGCAACTCTCAGCAACATTTTTGCAAAGGAAACATCTGTTGACCAAAAGTTTTCCTTTTTTTATCAAATTGTCCAATGTCAGGATCTTCTTTTTAATACCTTCCCAAGCAAAGAATGCAATCCTTGAGGGAGCATTAGCTTTGCTTATGGCTTTGTAAGGGAAATATGCAGCTGATATAGCGTTTAACATGCCAATGCGAAATGATAGTTTATTAAAAAAAGACAAGATGGAGAATTTGTCATTTTTCTACAGCTTCCAAATTAGAGAGTCTGGTCTATTCACAATTTGTATCCTATGTTCAAATTCATCCATCTCTCAGTCATTTAAGTTGATGTTGACAACAATATTACAAATATCCAAGGCATCAAAGGTCTCACTAACTAGAAGGTTTTTGCGTTGTGCAATGGAACAAATAGTTGGGTAGACAGACTTAAGGTTTTTGCGTTGTGCAAGTGTCATTCCAGAAATTAACCCTATCACCATTACCAACATTCCAGTAAGTATTCATCATCACCTCATTGTAGGTGGCAAGAATCCCTTTCCAAGCACTTGTGCCATGAGTTCTAGTGGGGAAGAAAAATCTACCATTTCCGTCATATTTCATCCATTTTATATCCACAAAATTCATCCATAGGCTGTTGATTTCATATAAGTATCTCTAAATCCATTTACCGTGGAATGCCTTATTGATAGTTGTGATAGAACTTATCCCAAGGCCACCCATTCGCATAGGCAGCTTAACCTCAAAGGTGCATGAGCTCATATGGTTGAAGATGATTTTAGAAAATTTGAAGATTTAATGGGATGGATCTACGAGACTTTATTGCGATAATAAGTTAGCAATTAGCATTATCCACAACCTAATACAACATGACATGACGAAACATACTGAAATTGATAGATACTTTATCAAGAAAAAGTTAGCTATCGGATTGATATGCAAACTATATATGCTCAATACTTCACAACGTGCAGATGGTATTGATCAAAGAGTTAAATAATCCTGAGTTTCAGACTACTATTGACAAGTTGAGACGGGATGATATTTGTTCACCAGCTTGAGGAGGAGTATTGAAAAGTGTATTTGTATAATAAGGAATGTAAAGAGTATATCAATAATATACCCTTCTAATGTAATTGATAGAGTTTCTCTCTTTATTGTTCATAAAACCAGTATATATAAGACCCTAGTATCCAATAAAATACATATATTCCTTCTTCCACATGTACTATTATTGCTTAAATGTAAATTATGTTTCTTGTAAATTTGGGATGAAGACTTGAAGATAAAATTTTTCATCTTCTTTTCCCTTAAGTTATTATTGGTTCTTTATGTTTTCCTATGACTGTGGAAGTTTGGTTAGTTTGCCATGTAATAAGTTATGTTTCTTGTAAATGCGGAAGAACAGTTACTTCAAAAGAAAAAAGAAGTTTCCTATTATTCCTTAGGAACTGTTCAATTTTTCCTATATACCTGCAGAGATTAAATAAATAAAGTCTTAAGTATAATTCAGAAATTTCTTTAATTCCTATTCATGAGATTAAAGGGTTATCTTAATGAACTTTTATCAATTACTAAAGATAGGTCACGTAAAGAAAGGAATTCTAACAAAAATCAAGTTCTCCAGATTCTTAAATTTGGAGAACCAAACGAGGACCTATGTGCAGAGACATAATATATTGGTATCAGAGCCAAGTTAGGGCTGATTTCCTTATTTTCAACAGCAATTCGAGTCTTTTCTTCATCTGTCTCAGGATGATTATGCAAATGACAAATAATTGATAAAAGGATAATTTATCAGAATATAAATTATAGAAATGAAAAACAGGGACACTGAGCAATAGGTACCACTTCCATTTGCTGAAATTATGGATAAGGAACCAAATATTGGGACTTCTAGCTCATGCAGCCACAAGGTATGAAATGGAATCTCCTGCATTATAGGATAGATCCCAAAGTCTTTATCAGAAAAGAAAATAAACACTCGTGAAACAATCAATAGGGAAAAAAACTCTACTAGACAAACAGAGAAATTTCTCCTAGATCTTTTAATTTCATAATGTTTGTTAGAGTATCCTTCAGCTTTCTGCCAAGTAGATACAAAATAAATACAACAATCCTGGTCCTACAGTGATTCAGCATAACATAAAGCTTATATCAACCTTTTGGAAATAAATATTGGAAAATGATTGCTCATGTCCAGAATTGTAGGCATATGAAGACAGTGACTTGGGTTCACAGATTGACAAATCATTGGGATCTCACTTTGTAAATTCACATTTTCTTACATTGCAACAAGTACTGTGAATAGTAGTTGAAACTAAAATTCCCAAGACAGTAACTTGGGAATTTGCTCTAACATCAAATTGGTAAAGAGCAGCTTGTAAAGCTAAAAATTATGGCTAACAATTAAGTTGAAACTCCATTAAGATTGATTGTTATAACCCACACATTCAGATTTTCTAGAGATAGTAGTTTGTCAAGGACTGTGAATAGTATAAATACTTGGTGGAGCTGAATGAAATTGTGAGCATATACAAAGGTCTTGGTTTGCTAAAATAAGGAGCTCTAATTCTCCAGTGAATGCCAGAGATTTGTTCTTCGAATATCCTGATTGCAGCCACTTTTCCTACCCTCTTCTCTGAGAAATAGATTTTCAACCCTTACACCTTCGTATCCAAACTTCTGTTCAAATCTTTGGTAGATTCTCAGCCGGGATGGATTACGGGTACTAACTAAATGATCAAATTGGAAGAAAATGAGTTAAGCTCCCTATCTTATGCAACTCTAAATGTCCCAAACCAAATGCAACCCCTTCAAGAATTTGATTCTAGAATAAACTAATATAGACATGTTATACCTTCACTGATATAGCTGTCACACGGCCACTTGTAGATGCCACATAAACTGTGTTATGTACCTAGATGAAAAATCAATCAAATATTAGATCAAGTGACAAACAAGAAACTGATCCGTTATTTCCCTTTTACAATACCAAACTCTAAAATGTATTTTTCTTTCACATCCTTTAATTAACTTCCTTAAAGTTGATATTCCCTTTGAGGGCATACAAACTATAGCCTCGGAGGGTAATGAAACCTCTCTGTTTGATCAAAATACAGGTATACAAACTACACTTTTGGTTTATTTTTTTAAAAAAATACATACTACACTTTTGGTTTTGGTTGTAGTTTTTGGGTATATGGGGAGATTTCTGTTCATTACATTAAGCTTCAAATTTATAGCTAATCATGTAAATGGGGAAGCATGCACTCCGTTGATCATGTGGATGTTCGTGATCTGTTTTAGGTAGATGTTGTTGTTGCTTGCTGTCTTATTAATCAAATGCCTTTTTCTCTTCTTCAAGGTCAAGGTCATTCAATACTTTTTCCTCATTAAGTTGTGTTTTGTTTTTTTGGATTAAATAAAAAAAGAAATATTATCAAGAAGAAAGCTTAGAGAAGTTCATTAGCGGGGGGACTAGGTGTCCTCAGAAAAAAAATAAATAAATAAATAAACGACAAGGAAAATCAATATAAAAACCACCAACTAAGCTCTTTACAAAATAGACAATAGAGAAAGAAATGTCCTTATAAAGCTAATGCACCTTAGCCCAATGCCAAAAGAGTCACCTCCCAAAAAAAGGATAAATTGGAAAGGTTTTTCTTAAAATATTCCTTATATTTTGTCCAACCATAACTCAGAAAAAATCATCCACTCCCCAGCAATATATCGTCCTTTTTCTTCCCAACACCACCAAGTAAAGAAAAAGTAAAGGACTCAAAGCTTGGAAAAGCCACCAAACAAAGACTAAACATATCAAACAGCCTAACCTCAAGCCTCCAAACCACATGAGAACGCAAGAATAATAAAAGTATGAGATTCAGCATCCTGAAAACACATCATAAACACACAGGACAAAGCACATGTCTGCCAATGAACTTGAATCAGAAATTAGTATCAGATTCAGCTTTGTTTCTTTTGCCTCCATGAATGTTCTATTTTATTTGTTTTGTTCCATTGTATCTTCAAGAGCCTGGAGACAAAAAGTTAGGTTCTAAAGCTTTTAACTGCTTCTTTGTTGACTATTCTAATTCTCAGGCTGCTGAGTTACAGCATTTCTTTAGATGAGTACACATTTTTTGTCAACTCCCTTATTGACAGAACAATATTAACCTCTATCATTGTCTTCCTTTGCCGTCTTATTCAATACTCAACGAGCATCTCTAGTCCAACAGAGTTCCAACACTAACATTGTTACTACCTGGATGCTCTCTCATGTGCTTCAAATTCAAGTTCATTCTAAATCTTTTCCTAATTCAGCTTAGTTTCCTTTGCCTCCAAGTATCTTTTTTTGTGTTTGTATAAGTCATCCACTACAACCAACAGGTAACAAGTTATTGAAATGTATTTTTAGAAGTTGAGGATCCTGCAGAATTTCGGCAAAATACTTTATTATCTTTGACCAACTGGAAAGTAGGTCTCCATCCACCTTTTTGGTCAGAATTTTGGGGATTGAATAGTGCGCCATGATTACTTTCTGGAGGTTTGTGGATCACGATCTGTGCATCTTGTGTAGTAAAACCAGAGTCCCAAAGTGGGCACCTTGAGAATGTGAACTTGGATTTAGGGTTATGACCTTAAGCAAAACATTATAGATAGACAAGCTAAATCCAATAAAATAAATGAAAATAATATATTGATTGATGTAAAATGGCAAATTTTGCAACCGTTGGAGCAAAGTTCTATGTAAAAATATATTGACCAATTTGAAAAGCTCTGATAGGAATAGAGGTCTAGATGAAAACTAAAATTATTTCTATATAAAATAGATTATGAGTTGTAAGTACTCCAGTCTTCGAAAATTTTAGAAATAATCGAGAAAATATATATTAACATGTTATGGAACTTGATCTTCTATAGAATTTATGGAAGATAAATTCCCAACAAGAATATTCAATAGAATTTCCACCTCTTTGTAAGTGAATAAAGTGAAAATTTAAAAAAAAAAATTCTATAAAATTATAAATTTAAAACCGCAGCCTAAATAATTGAACACGAAGTGTTACCTCATCAACTGCTGGAGAGCCAAATATACTCCCACTACATGGAAGCTTATATACACAATGCTCGTTTCTATAGTCAAGAGCATATAAATTATGATCATGTGATCCACACCTGCAAATAATTTGACTTTTAACTTTCATTATGATACCAACACATGTAAAGATATATATAGATGATTTTGCA